GCCTGTAGTTCCCCGGATCCTCCTTCCATAAACCTGGATGCTGTCTTAGTGTTGTCAAATAGCAAGCAAATATTAAGGCTATGTATGCTTTGAAGAGAGTCTTAAATTCTGTGCTTATTGAAGAAAGTGATTTTGTTTTGGGGATAACAAATCATATGCTATGTTTCAGTACACCGTAGTTTGAGTAATGCAGTTTTGAACTCCCAGCTAGGAAGTTAGTCTTCACTAGGACAAAAAGGGTTGGGGTTTTTTTGTTGTTGATTGGAGGGATGGTGTTAATATGCTTAATAGCTTAAAACCCTAGTGAAAAACGTTACGGTATTGCATGTATTAGCTGGGTGAGGTAAACCTGAATATCCTTTGAAGAATTTTAATGCATGTTAGAAATGCTGACTTCTTCTTAGAGAAGACTTAAGTCAGATTCACTTCCGAATTTCTGCAAATACTTATAACTATGACAACGTGTAGACTATGATTTTTAAAATGTTGTGTATTAATATATGTGATTAGTCACCATAAACTGCTAGATTATTGTTCTACAAAGGTTTCACTAATAAAAGCATATAAAAGTGAAGTCTTAATAAACCTGGAAAGTGTTAAGGCTAATGAAACATTCATGTTCTTGACAGCATTGATCCATGTTCTTACTGATGTTTTAGGCAATGGACCACCTGCAATCGTTTATTGCAGACTGTGACAGGAGAACAGAAGTGGCTAAGAAAAGACTAGCAGAAACCCAAGAAGAGATCAGTGCCGAAGTTGCAGCTAAAGTAAGCATGTAAAACTAGTTACTGAAGTCTCTTTGAAGGTCTGTTTTTCTAAGGAGCCAGCTTAAGGCTTTGGCAAGCTATCCAATCTGAGAGTTCACACCGAGGAGGGGAAAAAAAAAGACGTTTTCCCTATCCTTCTCAAAACTGCCTTTAAAGCACGGAGAGGAGAACACAGGGAATAGACCTCTCTGGTATTTTTGAGCTCAGGAAACTTGACTCTCTGTGATACCGTGCCATACAAATGTTAGTAATTCCTACACTTTTTGATCAAAACTTCATCCATAAAGTAAACAAAATTTGATGTGCTTTCCTCTAACTGAAAAAAACTTCTGTCATTTTTCTGCACATATATGCACATGCTTGGAGGAATGGTTGTACAAATACTAATTTTGCAAGACCATGTGGTATAGACAACAGTGTAAATTACTTGAAGTTTCTGAACAAAATCCTGCTCTGGAGTTGGTACACAGACTTGGTAACAGCCTTTCTCTGTGTGTTTTTACATGAAGCAACTTCTGTTTCATTTTTACCTGGAGAAGTTATCTCTGCATGTTTCTTTTAATTCCATCCTACCAATTTTGCATATAATAACTCAGTAGTAGTTCAGATTGTTTTCCATAATTGAAAGCATTTCCTGTGTTAAGCCTTTCCTTGTCTTTCAAGGCTGAAAGAGTTCATGAATTGAACGAAGAAATTGGGAAACTGCTGGCCAAAGTAGAACAGCTTGGAGCTGATGGGAATGTGGAAGAATCTCAAAAAGTAATGGATGAAGTGGAGAAGGCTCGGGTAAAGAAGAGAGAAGCAGAAGTAAGTTGATTGTGTAAGGCTTAAGGGATGGAGAGGGCAGGGTCCAATATTAAATTGGTTGGCATCTGTGTAATGCAAGATGTCTTATCTGCTGTTGCTTCCTTAACTAATTGCTTCATATAAAACTAAAGAATTTGCTTTGCGGCATCCTGTACAATTAAAGTTTCTACCTTTTAAATACACTCCTATACTATTAAAATTATACTCACTTCCGCAGATGATGCATTTATCTTAGTTTAGCTGTATTGGCCAGCTAAACGGTCCTTGTTGTAATGTTCGGGTGGCAGAACTCACCAAGAGCTTTTCCATATCATATTTCACCCAGATACTTAAATTTATAGAAGCAAACACTTGCAGTTGTTTTAATGGTACCAGAGGGGTTGCTGGCAGTCTTGCTTATCTGTCATCTGAGTATAGATAAATTTTGCTCAGATAACTTGTTTAATTGGTGTCTAAAATGCAGGTAGATTTCTCAGGAAACTACTACTGTTTTAAACTGGGTTCAGAATTAAAACTGGTGTAATATTTTCATAATATGTTAACATAGTAATTGTAGGGTTAACGTGTATTCATTGTTGCATACGAAAAAGTTATTCATCCTTCTAAGTAGTATAATCTTAAGTAAAGGTAATAATCACCCCACTTTGTTTAATTTGCAAACCCAGTTGCTGATGTCCTGCTTTTAAGTATGTCGAATCTTCAAAATAAGGAATCTGCCTTGTATCTTAATGAGACAGTTGATTTATGAATAGTGTGTATTAACTAAGGGTGTGCTGCTGTACATTGAATTCCATTATCAATTTGTAGTAGATCTTTGGTAAAGTATTATCTTTGTGTTTCTGTGCATTGAGAAGTAACAGTTAGCAAATTGGTTTTTCTCTAGGAAGTATACAGGAATTCTATGCCTGCCTCCAGCTTTCAGCAGCAGAAGCTACGCGTTTGTGAAGTGTGCTCAGCTTATCTTGGTCTTCATGACAATGACCGACGACTTGCTGACCACTTTGGAGGAAAACTACATTTAGGATTTATTGAAATAAGAGAGAAGCTTGAGGAACTCAGGGTAAATCTTTCTTCTGTTTTTGTGTGTGTATACGTGTGTGCTCCTACTTAATTATTTGCCAGGCAATCTAATGGAATATTTCTTTCTGGGCATGTGAATTTTTTTCATATTACTTTAAAATTTGGGATTTCATTAGTCTACAAAACACTAAACATTCTAATTTAATATCAATTATCTGGATAATTTGATAAGATGACCTTTTTTGCACTGAGATATATTAAAGCACGTGTTCAAATAGTGCATCTTGGGAACCAAGAGTGCGATTTCACTTGTGAAATGGAGAACTGTAATTTGAATGACAGTGATGTTGAAACATATTTAGCAGTCATAGGAGATAGCCAGATGAACTTTACTTTTAGCCAGTTAATTGACTAAAAGTAATAATGAGACTCTTGAAAATACAAGAACATGTAGTGGGCCTAAGTGAGCGATATTTTATTTATATAATTAGGATAAAATGTTAATAGGGCTGGTGCTGAAATCCTCAGTTTTGGTACCAGTATGTAAGGAGGATGATAACACATGGCAAAGTTTTCAAAAAAGATCTACAGAAATGCTTGGAGCTTAAACAGCCTGCTGTATGGTGAAAGACTAAAACTCAATTTGTTTATTTTATCCGGACACAGTGTAGGAGGTGACTTTCATTCTATAGGTACCAACAACTAAAGAAGATCTCTTTTTTTAAGTAATTTTTGAAGTCTTTTAAGCTTAACTGACAATAGATGAAATAAATAAGTTCCAACAACTCAAGGCTGTACTATCCAAAGTCAGAATACAAAAAGATGTATATCTTGAAGACAGGCTAGCTATTAAAATAATTGTTACAGGGAGGTTGCATGTTCTCTATAGCTTGAAGATTTGAAATCCAGTTGGAATATTATCCTAAACAACACTATCTTGACCACAAATCATGTGTTGGAAGAAAGACTTACTGGAATTATATTCTAGACTTTGGGTATTCGAGAGGGGATGGATTTGGACACTGATGCCGTTTATGATCTTAATATGCAAATTATGGAGTTCAAGGCTCAATTAAGCATTTAACTGTGGAAATCACTAAAGACTATAGCTGAATGAGTTGATCCCTAAAAGCAGAAAATGCTACTGAGTTTGAGTAAATTGGCTTGGTTTATGTTTCATAATATTCCAGCTGTTTTGCATGGATACTGTGACTTACCCTTTGGAAAGCCCAACTCTTTCTGTTGACTATATTGGCAATTTAGGCTCCTAAATACAGCTGCTGTAACTTAAACCTTAGATGCCTAGAATAGATCCTGCGTGCTTCCTCTCATCCCTCCCTGAAATTATGCAAAGAGTCACTTGAACAAGAAACCTTGTTTGTAGTTAAATTAGTGATATTGTATAAGGAAGTATAGATATAATTTGATGTAAAGGGTTGAAATAACTGATTATTTACACCATTCGGAAAAAAAAATGCATGGAAAGTAATTTCACATTCCCAAAGCATCAATAAAATAATCTTTTGAAGTACTTCACTAACAAAAAAAGAAAACAATAACTGTCCCCTCCTTCCTCAGAGCTCTCCTCAGAGATCTAATCAAGATGCTGCTGGGGCAATTCCACATCTCAGAAGAAGGTCTTTACAAAGAGTTGAATTTCTTGCATCATGTCCAGAAGGTGGCGAGACTTGGGTTTGGCCAGATCTCCAGTTGTGAGTTCCACATCTGAGGGCCCTCTACTGAGCGTGCCTTGTCCCCAGTAGTAGTGAGTTCAACCTGGGGGCTATCAGCTGAAGCATCCTCTCTAATTATATGTCTCATGTTCACAATATAGAAACAAGTAGCCTCAAAACTAGGTATCAGCCCAACCAAGTCCTTTAAGACTAAGGATTTCTTTATGTCACAGTGTAGCTGAAGGAGTTAATAAAACAACTAACTCTCCCAGTTCTGATTCCTTTCTGCCTTTCCCCAGTGGCCAAAATATGATAGGATTGGCATGGAAACTCTCACATTAAAGGCATGACTTACTGCTCTGAATTCCCCTATGTGGAAAACTTAATATAACACTACATATTTCAGGTCTTCGTGTAACACCCATCTATTTGCTGCAGCTCTTCTGCAATAACTTCTGTTTCTTGGAGGAAAAAAAAAAAATTTAAAAAAAATATATGTACACACACACTGAGGAAGAGAGAGGGAATAATATACATAAGGGAAAAGGAATATACATGAGGGAAAGAACTGAATATTAACTGTCTAGATTATTTTTATAGCTCCTTCATCTGAGAAACTTTGAAATGTAACTTAATGAATATGTTCCTTTGCTTTTAGAGGATTGTGGCTGATAAACAGGAGAAACGAAATCAGGAACGTCTGAAACGTAGAGAGGAGAGGGAAAAACTAAGGAGGTAGGGATCTATTTTAATTGCATATACGTAGTGACCTATTTCAGTTTAATGGGAAAACTATGATGTAGTTCGTACACATTTTTTAAATCTGCAGAATCACAATAGTCTGTATTCCTTAGAAACTTACAAGGATTGAGAGTGAATTTCATGTCTGACTCTTAAAACCTGAATTGTTTTCATAGAAAGCCTTTTTAAAAACTACAGATAGAAGTGTCTCTACATATTTGAACAAATGGCCTTTAGATGAGATAATTTCAGGTGTGTACCTTGTTTTGAGACCTGATAGATGTGAGCTTACACACGTGCATTTCTAACATCTGTTAGATGTTAGATATTTTCTTTATAGATATTAGAAATTTTCCTTATTGGAAGTAGTTGAATGTATGACTGAGGAAAGTAATTCCCTGTTCTGCTATGAAATAGTTGCTTCCAGGCCCTGTGGGGCTAGAGTGGAATGGAATCTGAACTGCAGTTCTCTTGATATGTCAGCTTCAGAGGTTAACAATGTAAACTTTGAAATCTGTTGCAGTCTGATAATATGTGCCTGACAAGAAATAAGGGAGTACTGACTTGAACTGTAAGCTTTTCCTGTGGGAGGGGTGGGAATAAAAAAGCAGATTAGATACTCTTTTGGGTTCGTAGTATGGTGGGCCCAAAAATAAATAAAAAAAACCAAACACAAAACAGTTGTCAGAGGAATGTATTTCCTGGTAAATATGTTACAAAGATGTTAACATCAAATAAAAGGCCTTTAAATAATTGCTAGTAAAATAAGAAATGCAATACAGATGAACTAGTTTGGTTTATTATTACTAAATTGTACTTTATTTGATAATAAGATTCTGTAAGAAAAATTGATTTACTATTTTCCATTTATTTCAGATCCAGATCCCACAGCAAGCATACCAAAAGGTATATAAATCTGCAGACAAGGAATACCATCAAGGAAGCCAGCCTTTCACAAGCTGGAACATCAGAATTTTGTCTAGCACTATTAGTTTAAGATGTCCATCTTTACAGACAAAGCATTCTCTTACGTAGTCATCTCTCTGTGTATTTGTACAGTATTTATCTCCATACTACTGAGTTTATATGCGTACGTCTATTTTGTGGCTACTACAATGCAACTTTTTGTCCCAAATAACGCTTAGAACATAGAGAATTGCTCTTTCTTCAAAACAGAAGCTTGTGGTTAATACCTTTTGGTGACAACGCATGTTTTTAAAATCCTAAGTACCGGGTTAACTCTCAATAGATGACCCATCAATAGTATGAGTTTTCTTCCTAACCTATATAGTTGAAGGTCACCAGTGAGGTATTATTGCAAAGTGATTTAAAAAAAAAAAGAAAGAATAATGAGTTTCTATGGTGTTTAGAACCTTCCAGACTAGTTTTATTGTAGTAGCTATGGCATAGGATATAGTCCTGTTTTCTCAGAACATCATATACATAGGTTCTGGAAGATGATCCCTATCACTGCATCACGAAGTTCTACAACTTTGCCTGATAAAGACAAGATTTTAAAATTTTAAAAAGTAAATTTTTTTCCGTATTTTTAATTCCTTTCAGAAGCCTGAATTGGCTATGCTGTAACCATACATACAGTCATGAGTTAACTGTAAAATTGTTTGCATTAGTCACAAAGGAGTTTGTAGGATTTCTAATGTTGCTTTCCTCTCTCTGTTTGCCTGTGATAGGACAATGCAATAGCTCTGAACACTGCAGACCATTTTTTATACAGATTTCCTTATGCATAAAGTGCATAATATTCAAAGTACAGTGATAAGTAGCTAGGTGAATGCAGTGTCTGGTTTAAGTCCTTTCTGTTCCTAGATCTAGGTCCCGAGATCGCCGCAGACATCGGTCTCGCTCAGCCTCCCGGGAACGAAAGAGAAGAACTCGCTCCAAATCCCGTGAGAAACGCCATCGTCACAGGTCTCGCTCTAACAGCCGCAGCCGGAGTCGCAGCCATCATAGAAGCAGGCATAGTTCCAGGGAGAGAAGCCGAGAACGCAGCTCCAAAAAGAGGTGAATGTTGGTCTGGAAATAAATGGCTTTTCCTAGATGCATGATGAGAATTTTCACACTAAATTAAGTTTACATTTAGTACTTGGTAATTTAAACACGTTTTGAGACTCAGATTTCAGTTGCACCTTCAGCATATTTATGATTGGACATACAGTAGTGATTTTTCTTTTTTTAAGTAAAAATAATAGGGTTATGTATTATTTCTGTTTTGGAGAAGTGATATAAGTATCGGTGTCAAGTTGATAATACTGCCAGCTTTCTGCAGCGTAGAAAGCGAAACACTTGATCTCCATCAGCCCAGGGATATCAATAGTCATCTTACTGTCATCCATTTGGTTTTTCCCTTGAGCTCTTGTTCCCAGCACTGGAGCCCATCTGTTGTGTACTGTGCCAGATAAAAACAAGTTTAGATATGCCTGAAAATAAACTTGTTGCATTGCCTCTGAAGATGTTGCTTTGCAAGGAAAGTGGCTCAGCCCCTCATTGAAGGATTACTGCAGAGAGCAGTCTGGGGCTGTTGCTTTTGAATGACTCAATTGCTGTCTGCTCCTGAGGATTTGCTGGCTTATTTTAGAAGAGTGTTAGAATTGCACAACGAGGCATCTGGTAGGGAGGTCTGCTCATAACCAGGATTCCTTTCTTGTATAGGTCAGCCACTGTGGCGTAGATTTGAGTGCAGTACAGTGGACGGGGTGCCCAATCTTAAAATCCTGACAGACTGTCCACTTCCAAGAAGAGAAAAGATCTGATTTTGAAGTGGCTGCACATGCAGGGTTTATAACTCAAACTATTTTAGGATTTAAATTGCCAAGGATGGAGAAATATGTATTGAATGTGTTCAAGTATCTCATGGGCTCTTTGCCCTAAAAATGAGCTTTTTTTCTTCCTGGAATAGGTATGTGACTGTAGTCCCGTTGTGCTCTGTAAGAGAGCATAGAAGACAGGGTTGGTCCAAGTCTTTCGCTTCCTTCTTTTTGTTGCAGATGGATAAAACTTAAATGTCCAGCACTCTAGTTGATACAATCAGTAGTGTCTGGTATTTAAAATTCTTCAGCATGTTCTTTAATGTCCTAAAGTCAACATTTCAGACTCATCAATTTCCATCTTGATTGTAGCCTGTCGTCACAGTTGGCAGAAGGTATTCACAGTGGCAGATTAGCAAATATTCAAACCTGTAGTATTTCAGTCTTAAAATAGACATTTTCCTTTGAATCAACACATTTGTTAACTTGAATGAACCAATGTATAGAGCATATGCTCAAATTGCCTTTAGTTCTTCAACTTTGAAGTCCAGCCTTGCAAGACTCAATTTCAGTCCTTCGAAGAAAACTATACTGATTGATTGTTCTGGGATTCTTATCATAGTTGTTCAAACTCTCCAATATGATATGCACAATACAAATGATGCACTGTCCTCTGTATGTTGGCAGAGAAATGTGTAAGAACAAGGAAATGGTGTGGACCACTGGTGCTATCTATATAACAGTAAACCTGTCAGTCTCAGCTGCCAAAAGTGAACTGAAAAAGCACAAGGTGATTTGAGGATGAAGTCAGTGTCCTTTTGCAAGATGCTATCAAAGGATAAGCCCTTCAAGCTTTGTTTTGTGAGAAAGAGTTAAAAAAATATAACGTACTTCAGGGCACAAGATTTCAACCTTACGATACTCGGTACTGGAAATATTTCTCCTGATGTCAGTTCCTGCCTTGAAGGAATGAGAGACACCTGTGTTGGAAGAATCCTTGGTACAAATAAGAGTTTTGCATTACTCTTAATCTGAGGGGAAAAAACTTCTGTGCCATCATTAGCAGCTCATACCTCTTATTTCTCTGAGGTCAAGCAAAATTTTTGCTCTTAAAGTATGTATATTGTGTTTTCAAGAGACTAAAGAATCCTTAGAGCTATGGTCTTGCTGCACTGGGACCAGGATAGCTATTGAACTTGCAGCCAGGCTGGATACCTCCTTTTTAGAGATGCCTTTCTAGCCATTTAGAGCTATTTTTCACATGAATGTGGGAGAAGTCTTTCTGTTGAATACTATGCCACTGTTGATGTCAGAATCCAAAATAAAGCTGAACTTGCAGGCTCAAATATATTATACTTTCTTGGCTCCTAAGAACTCTTTTTCTAGTCCTCATCGCCAAATCCTATTTTTAATTTTTTTTTTTGAGGAATTTCTTAAAATCCTGATATGAAATACTTTTATTCAAGCCTGTCTTCCTTAAGCTCAAAACATTTCAGCTGTCCAAGGCATTCTGGCCAAGAATACTCTCGAAAATAAAAGACACATTCCAGCAAGTTAAGTTCTTCAGCAAGGAGTCGTAGCCTCTTGGTTTTGAATAACCAAGCAAGTTCAGATCCGGGGAACACGGTGCTTTTGCCAAATTCTTGCAGAAGAGCACTGTGACACCAGAAGCAACAGAAGTTGCAGCAGTGGCAGCCCATGGTGCCACTAATTCTAGGGCCTTAAGAGAAGTGTGGAGTTGTGGTTGCTCTGTGGGAAGAGTTGCATCATTTTATGTTAACCTAAAGCCTTTTGTGTGATTTTTGGGCTTGGTTAAAGTACCATAAAATACAGTTATTGTAGGCTGCTGTAAAAGCTATGTATGTGTCTGTTTTTTTTCAGTTTTGGTTGCATTCATTATGGCTTCAACATGTAAGCATACTAGACTATTAGACTCCTTACTGGAGAAAGTCTTGATGTGCTTCTTCTGGAAGTCATTTTCCCATTTTGTTCTGCATAACAACATTATCACAGGCAAACATGTGCCTGTGATATTATTATTTGCAGCAAACCATGCAGTTCCGTTTGGTTTTCCTGTCCACCCTTCTTCAGAAGTATTTTCCGAAGAGCCTTTCACACAGAATGAAAAGCTGCCACCTCTCAGATACTTATTCATTCTGAAAGCAAAGGAATGTTTATTATGCGGTATATCTGAGAAAATTCTACAAGTACCTAAATTTGTCTGTCAAACGTATTTTCTTTAATCTGTATCATCATTCACGCTATGAACAGCTGGATAGATTTAAATCTCTTAATGGCTGGGATCTCATTTCAAATGTATCAATATAAGGAGTGGACCTCCACACTCTGTGGGCGCAACTGAATGTATACAAAGTATCTGGCAATAGTAGCAAATGTGTCTAACATAGTGGGAACACATCTGGTAATAACAGCAATGTGCCTAATAGGAACTCTAGGTCTACTCTAGGTCTCTAGGTCGGTTACTGGCTTATCAAGAGCAGGTCTAAATAAAACTTTTCCTTGCTGTTAGCTGTAAGTTCCAAATAACTAAAATGAATCATCTTTCATCTCATTAGAAACAAAATACGTAATTTGTGTTTCCTGATTTGCAATGAGAAAGTGAATATTTGCAGTTAGATGTTGAGATGCCTACTCAATGATAAGATCAATCGTAACAGCAGACCTAAGTTGAGGTAAATTGAGAGATGGTTGTGTCAGTATGCTTGAGCCCACTTGCAAGAATTCATGTGACAAGGGCTAATGTACTCCCATACAGACATTGTATGGACAAATAGAGTACCTGAAGTCATAAGATGGGGCTTCATTTCACCTGGCTTTAGATGACTAGGTCAGATGTAAATCTCGTGGGTCTCATTACAGACTCATCTGATACACGTTTGTGTCTATTTTAAGATGAGACAAATCATGCCTTAAAGTGTCTATTTCTTCTGCTGACTGTTAAGGAAATCTGGCTGATGAGCTTAGATGTCTACACTGCAAACATTTAAAGCTGGGTGAGAGAGATTCCACTCTTAACATTTAGATGATTTTTTTTTTTTCATTCTTTCTTTTTTTAAAATATCCTTCAGATCCTGGTTGACAACAGACTATTCTAGCCCTATGCTAATTCTCTGCTGTGGTAGAGAAGTACAGACTTCATTTTCTTTTTCTCTTCTCTATTTTTTTTTTCTTTGTTTTTCTTATGAGGAAAAAGGCAGGGTGGGGAGCACAGGCCCATTTAGTCAAACATCTTACCCCTTGGAAGGTTTGAAACTGTAGCTATATCTTTCCCTGCTTTCCTAGATCTGACTGGCTGCTCTAGGATTTTCCCAGACTGCCAAGGCTGCCCTAGGATTTTTGTCCAGTTACTTGTGGTTTTTTTGTCCTCAGACCCAATGCAGGCATCCACAGATACTGTCTTGGAACCAGTGTCACGTGTTATAACACGATTCATACTTGGTGAACGTGACAGTGTGGATGCTGTCTGCATATCTGGTGAAGGGGGCAGTTTTCTGCTGAAGAATCCACTTGATCAGTTAGGAAGTAATGCTTTGCAAGCATTCTAGATAATGTAAGTCTAGTAGAGGTTCTGATTCTAAAGGCTATACCTTGCTCTTGAGAAAGGCAGGAATGGTATTTTAGTTCTAAGTCTTCTGGTAGTAATACTGCTTGCTAAAGCAATTGTATAAACTTTCACATCACTATGCTGTGATTCATTAAAGCCAGTCTTCCTTCTTGTCAGCTGATTAGAGACTCACCTGTAGAGAGATGGGACAGCGGGATGAATGCATCTTGCATTCCCCCAAAAATGTGTTGAATGAAAAGCCAAAGCTGTGGATGGCATCATGTCCTATCTGTCTGCCTATTCTAGGATTAATTACTGGAGTTAGCCTGAGTAAATCAGTTTGGAATCATTGTTACTTCTGCAGGGGACTTGCAGCGCAAAATACTTGTGAAACAGCTGTACTAACTCCAGTATTAACTTCTTATTTGGCATGTAGTTTGTGGAATAGCAGTAATGCCTGTGGATCTCGGTGTTTGCAAATACTAAGTCTTCCAAAACACTACATTGTAAGCTGAGGAACTAAAATGAAAGGTCACTTCTTTGTAAACTTATAAAAGGAAATTAGTGCAGAAGGGTTTTGCAGACTTTAGTTTTGAAGCTTTGAGGTGATGACAGTAACTTTCTGTAAGTGGAAGGAGTACAGTCTAACTGTCCAGTACACCAGATTTTTTGACTAAGAGATTAGTGCCTAGCTTTATAGCATGCTGTTAAGATTTTTCTGTGAAAGTATGTATTAAATTCTTTTATGATTATAATATATCTTAAAATTAATACGTGATATTTTTCAACAACAGGCTTAGGTGCACTCTGTGAGGGAATATAGAGGAGGATGTCTAATCTAGTTTTTTTCCAATACAGGCAGCTCATTTAATTTAAAACTATGTGGATTGTTTAACAAAACAGGTCTTTCCTGGCTCCATTGTAAGGGTTTTGGAGATGCCTATTATCAGAATAAAATATCTTAAAATAACACTACCCCAACATTGCAAAAGCACACAAGGGTTAATTCTTCTAACAAAATCTAATTGTAGCACAGATTCCAGATTTGTTTTGTATTTGTCATGTAATAGCCTCTTTCCAGAATCACACAAGTTAATATCCCCCTGCTTTTAATCAAATTCCCATTTTAAAACACATTTTTTAAGTTTGTAGTTTATACATTTGAGATAGGCTAGACATTCTTCTCAAGCTAGAGACTACAGATGAGAAATTTCAATTAAACTTCTGTTAATGCAAGCTTGAGGGCAGAGGTTGAAAATTAGAGTGAAGCATGTTGACCTTAATCTAGGCTCTGTAATAAATGTAGATTAAATTCTGCCTCTATCAATATTTGTCTTTTGAAATTGGAAGTAGGAAAGAGAGAGAAATAGAATGATTTCTATGTCTTCTCATACACTTCTATTTATAAATCTAAAGTTGGTTGGAAAAAGAAGAAAAATATAAAATCAAAATGCTGTTTGATATCTACAGATTCGTGACTAACTTAAATTCTCAAATTTACTGCACTCTTCAGATCCTCAAAAGAAAGATCTTCCAGAGACAAAGAACGTTCAAGAGATCGTGATAGAACATCACGTGATAAAGATAGAAGCTCAAGAGAGAGGTCACCGCGAGATTTCAAAGACAAGAAACGTTCTTATGAAAGTGCTAATGGCCGATCGAGAGCGTGAAGCAGGGGAGATATAACTGGCTGTATATTCACCTGATCTCTAGCTTCCTATGGAGTTGCATACTATGGTTTAGTTTACAGTTGTTCAAAGGGACACCAGTGAGCAGTTCCAGACACTGATCCAACTAGGGTAGATGTACAGTATATAAAAGTGGTTATAACCAAGTCAGAATTAAACCCCATCAATTAATGATGCCTAAAGCTGGGTCCTGGACTTCCACCAAGTTGTAAAACTTTTCTGAAAGATTTCTCTTTATTCAGGACAACAGTTTTATGTACCAAGATGCAGATCTCAATGTTTTTAATCTCCTTTCCAATACAAGTTAGTGAACAAATTATATTGTACTACTTGCCTTGGGTGCTTTTGAACCTTTATAAGTTCTCCAATTCTGCTCCAGTCAAAACAGCGGCATTGAAAGGTTGTATTTGGGGGGATTTTTTTGTTTGCTTTTTTTGTAAGAGGGTGGGTGGATGGATATTAACTTTTACTCTAAGGTTATGTTCCCAGTGATTTTTTTTGTTTGGGAACCTAGGAGTTGATTACAGTGGGAGCGTTTAGACAGGAATGTGTGCTGGAGAAAGCGGAAATGTCTTTTTACAGTGCCTATTTAGACTTGGAAATTGAACAGCTGTTGCATTACATCTTTTTTTATTTCTACTTAAATTTTGAAATCAAAGCCAGTCCCATATCTGTACCATTTGATTGGTATGTGTTCAATATATTTGTTTTTTTCCATAAGGACTCTTTCTGCTTTTTCTTGTGGGGTGTAAATGGCACATCCTTAATTGTATTAAAAACAAACAAAAAACCAGCAACAACAAACAAAAGTTAAGAACAAAAAATAAAAAAATAAAAAAGGAAACCACATTGTCGAATAACTTAACAAGGATATACTGGTCTCGTAAGGTGGTTACTTAGCAGTTCAATCACTTAAAAACTAACATTTGGTTATTAAGAGTTTTTAACATGCAGATGTGCTCTAGGAGAAGCAGCCTTTCTGATTACAATCCTGACTGTCCTAAGATCTTCAAAGGTAAAAACATGTGGAATCATAATGATCATGGCACAAACACTAACTCTTTAATGACTTCAGTTTCAAAAACCGGTATTTCATTTAGGTGCAAGCTGCCTTAACATAAAGGGGTTGGTGTCGATTCTGTCAGATTGGAAGTGCTTTGGGGCGTATAAATTATTAAGATATGCCCTACCCTCACACAGAATAATTTAGAGATTGGTAAATTCTCCTTGAGATAGCACCATTGAGTTACTTAAGTGATGCTTAAGAGCAGCGTTTGTAATGGTTATTGGCACTTTCACCAGGTTCTGCAGACTCTCCTCTGTATCTCCCTAGTCCAAATGCCTCTGTAGGCCCTCTAATTATGGGTGTATAATATCACTATAAATTCACTGTTTGCATTTTTCCTCGGTGTCTTTTCTGTAGCCTCTTCAGTATGGTCAGAACACGTGTGATAAGTCTAACACAGTAGATAATTCAGCAATATTTTAGCTGGCAGTGAAAAGCTAGAACAGGACCTTTACATCTCAGCAAAGACTTGTATTCAACGTAGCACATATTCTCCACTTCGAATTCATGCTGTTTTAAGCTCCTAAAGAAATACTGTAATAATGATGGCTAACTACTTAATACTTTTTTTATTTACCCATTTGAAATCTGAACGTGAGTTTCCTTCCTGGGAATGCTTTATGATTTCCTGCGTGGCCCAGCTGCGTGATAAATGTAAGTTACCAGTGTTTGTCCCTCTGGTGTGAGCACGCTGTATAAGTGCTTGCTAACATCTATTGTCACACCTTTGTTAATGGAATTCTAGTGATGTGACAGAAGGTGAACAGTCATTTATAGATGCATCTTGCAATAGCAGAATTGCCGATGAGTGGGTTGCTAAGTCCTTTGGAATGTCTTTCTGGAATAAAAATACTCCAGAAATATTAAGGACCTGTCTCCCCCTGCAGCCAGCAACTAGAAATTTTGTTTTGTTAAAGGGGCATGGGGTGGGAATTTGCATACTGTAACAAAACACTGCTTAGACTCCTTACTAGCAAATTCTGGGTAATATGCCATTGATTTTACAAATGGCTTTTAAATTTAATTATGAAAGAGTGATTGGATTTGGGCCTTTCCTTATTTATAGGTTTTCGTGGGGTGGTGAGCTTCATAGTATCCAAGTACCACACCAATGTTAAACAGAGAGAAGGTAAGTCTTACCTCTGGTATCCTGATAAAATAATCTGAATTGCATGTGGAAATATATGCCTCATGTCTGAAATGAGGACTGGAGTGCAGTTAGGAAGAGAACTGATTTGAGGCGATTGATGAAACACACTACTTCTGATGCAAGAGATCTGGAACATATGTCAGAGAGGGAGACTGCTTTATTAGTTGTGCCTGAGTAAGTAAGGATCTTCCACCCTTCCATCAGAACCAAGCTACCTTAATTTCCAGGAGGGTGAAACTGAGGTATTCATCACCTGTGTATTTCCTGCTGGACAGCTGAAGAGTGGTATTGACTGACATTAGTTTGCATGGTCAAAATGATTATGAAAAGGATCTGGGGGAGATAAATCTCTGTCCATCTCTGCTGCATCATATAAGGGAAAGAACAAATAGTTTGGGCTTCATTACTTGTGGTCTTTAATTTCCCAGTCTTCAGTAAATGGTTCAGCAATTGTTAAATCAGACTTCTGGTCTAGAACCAGATCATAAATACAATGGCAAGATCATTCAGAAGGTCAAGCCACTCAGCCCGCTAACCCACATCAAGTACATCCTACAGACATGGATGTACGAGCTTCACATCACCTAAGTATCATCTGTCCGCACTGCACTTACAGCTTCCCACACCGAGACTGTTTGCCCAGCTTTTCTCCCTTCGGCTGTTTGTTCAGCCATTGATTCTTACGAGATTGAGAGAGCCGGAGGCTGGGTGCTAGACGGACAGGAGATCCGTGGGGGATGCTGCTGTGCAGTAATCTCTGATCTGTACTGCCACTCCTTCTTTGCTAAGAGATCTCGCAGGTCTGCAGGTCCTTGAGAGGGCCCGAGTGCTTGAGGCCATTCCTATTCAAGAAAATCTTCCCTCTCCTGCAAGGAGGCTTACTGCAGCCTGGGAAGGGAATGGAGCTCCTGAGGGGACCTAAGGATGCTGTAGCTGAGCATCTCTCTGAAATTTTGCTGACACAGTTGTAGCTCCGTGGCAGTTTTTATCAGACTGTAGGTTTACAAATTGAGCAAAGAGAGTAGATTATTTCATTTATTTAAAGTGTTTGAAATGCAGTGAGCCTGCAAGCATTATTCCTGTATCTCGGCAAGCTCTCACTCTGGATTAGTCAGGGGAGCGTAAAACAGAAGAACATTAAGATGGTAAGCAACTAGAGGATGGCACATTACCAGAAATGAGGGCCTCTCCTGAACATATGTGAGTTGCTTTTCCCATTGGAACAGGAGGAACCGTACAGTGAAACAGTGACATTTCCAAATGAAGAGGTGTTTGGCCTAGTGCAGCCGTATCGCATTACCCAGCATCAGACTTGCCGATGAAGCTGGCGGAGGAGGCTGTTCCTATCTGTCCTCATGCCTTCCGTCAGGTAGCGAATCTGGCATTTATCCTCCTCTTGCTACAGCGCAAACCCTAGCCCTGGAGCCCTTCTGCCTGTCCAATCTATCTTGCACCAGTTTGTGCCTTTGAGGCACTTTCCATCCTGCCCCAGGGGCAGCAGGAGAAAATCGGTGACCCAACCCCCTAAACCAATGCAAATGGATGATTGTGCAAACCTTCAATAGCCTTGGGACAGGGATTATCTATTTAGCTGAAGGGAAAATGATATCAGCTTGTCTTGAGACACCTGGGGCCAGTGCAAGACAGCTAAAGGCATGGGTGGGTACATCTGAACGAATGGTTTTAGCTATAGGAACACAGTATTGCAACAAGAAGCTCCTGTGGTGCTGAAGATGACTCAGTGAGACGTATGTGCCGTCTCCTGTTACGGATTCAAGCAGATTGGAGTTGCAGTCAGCATTAAACAAAGTATAAAGGCAGAATGAGCTATGTGCCAGAGGTGATGGCAGTGTGCAGTGTGTTGTGTAAGGGTCTGCAGCACCTGTTAACCCCCCTGGTTTACTATTTTCCATCCCACATTTCACATCCCACCTTGCTCAGTATAGTTGTCCTTTGTTCAGCAAACAGTAGAGGATATTTCTCCTGATGCAGTGGCTTATAAAAAATGTTAATGCGATCTTCATTCAGTCCTGTATGGTTCTTGCTCTTTGTTTTTGCTTTGATTGCTTTTTTTCTACTTGCTTCTTAATAAATTCTTGCACCGTTACTGCTCATGCAATTCTTTAATTCTTCTTTTCAGTAAGACCTGGAGATCTGGCTTTCACTGCAGCCTGCAAAACTGGGAAGCGGTGGACTGCTGGCCAGGGGCTTCCAGCAGCTGGAAATACAGGGGAAGAGAGGAAGAAATGTTTATTTCTAGCTTAGGCTCTCCTCTTTATCCCTGCTTTCCCTTCTGCAGGCACATAATGGACAGTCAGCAGGCAATTAGAAAATTCTCTCATGACTTGTCTCTCCTGGCTCTGGCTTTTCCCCTCCTGTCGCTGGGGAAACCGCAGTCCCAAACTGCTTCCCCAGGCCCTTGGTAGTGCTGCGCAGAGCACCGCAGGCAAGCAGCGTCCTAGGAAGGGCACCGGCGGGGATTAGCTAGCAACAAAGCAGGGCTGGCCACGGGCAAGGTCAAAAAGGGCCTGATGGATAGCAGGAACTGCCGTGGCTGTACAGCCCTTCCCCAGGCTGAAATGATCTGGCAAATGCTGACTGTAGTAAAATATCGACGGTGATGCTCAGTTAGGAGCGCAAAGGTTAGAAATTGTTCCTGGTGCTGGCTCAGAGGGGCTGCAAACTTTCGCAGCACCAGCTGTCAGGCACCACCCGCATCAAAGGCCTGCTCGAGCCCCTGCGTATCCATCACTAGAAGGTGATGACTGGGTTGGGGAGTTTGCATCGGACTACTATAACTTACTAAAGTGCTGCCATCTTTCTAAGCTCAAACTAGTTGGCAGCAGAGCAACGGGAGTGAAGAACTGCTGATTCCAACAGGCGAGGGCAACTGCTACCTTGATGGAGGGTGGGACCGTAATCCAGGTGTCAGCTCCAGTGTTTCACAGCCATCGTCTTCCTCGTCCTAAAATTCTGCTTGTAACCCTGTGCAAAGCTCTGCTGGTGGCCCGTGGTAATGGGAAGTTTCGGCGTGATGTTGGGATCAGCCTGCTCTGCCTGATGGCAGTGGTCAGCGGCTGCCGGGTGTCCTTGGTGGACAGCCTGGGGAGGCTGGATGGAGATCAGCAGCACTGGCATCACCAGCAGTGTGTCCCTGATCCATCTGCTCCCATGTGGTTGTGCAGGGGGGAGGCGAAGCACCGTGTTGCTGCCTGCGAGAGAGACGCCACAGCAGTGCTGCCTCCTGGGGAAATGCTTCCAGGGACATCAGAAGCAGAAGCCTGGGCTCTCCAAGGCAAGCATACAAAATATTCTTGCAGTACGATGAGGTTGCCATTTCTACTGTCCACTGGGTAAACAAATGATTCAGTCTAGGATGCTGCTGGCTCACACCTGCAGCAAAAAAAAATCATTCCTGTGTGTCTTAAGTTTGTTTGATGCTGACCGTGTGCAATTTGACCAGTGTAACCATGCACTGGACTGGCTCAAACCCACCCCGCTGCATAAGCCAGAAGCGCTCTGGTATGGCACATAAGGTTAACTGAGTCTCAGTGATACTTGAGTTACAAATATTCGTTAACTCAGTGTTAGCTTTAGCAAAGGTAAAGAAAAAAAGGCATCTTCTCTAACATTGCCTTTCCCTAAAGCAGGATTATGTAGTGAAAGAAAAAAGAGAGATTTTACAATGTTGAAAACTGAGAAGGTTAGAATAGTTCGGGGGGCTTTTTTGGTTTGGTTTGCAGCTTTTTTGGTTTGAGTCACACCTGGGCTTTTATGAGAGGCCTGAGCCTGAGCCTGAGCCTGAGGCACTCAAGCGCCTGATGGGCGGGCATTTGAATTCGGTGGCTGTTCTGTTCTTCTAGGGACCACTGGCTCCTAATGCTGATTCAGACATTACAATTCACTTGTCTTATCTCAGTATGATCTTCTGTACGCAGCAATCCTTTCTCAATCACGCATTGTGCCATTACGAGCCTTGTAGTACCTTCTGTTTCACCAGGAAGGTGATTTGAAAGTCTAACAGGGCTCCGCTGCTCCTCTCCGGCTCTAACAGAAGTGACCGCCCTGGCACCTAGCACGGGGTAGAAACGTTGCTGCTCCCAGCGTGTTCCCATCTGGGCTGTACCCTCACCACCTTCTACCCATCACTAGGTGTTTTAAACAGCAATGAGAAGCAGCCCCTACTCTTTCAGTGTAAAGTAACACCTCTGAGGGCTTTAGTTTTACTTGTGCCCACAGCTCTACAGCAAAGGAGCTCAAGCAGCCCTTCACTTCAATCACCAATAACACAAATGGCCTTCCAGCAGGAAGAGTGGGTGCAAGGGAGGGTTTTCCTCCGGACCCTGCCAGAAGCATTTCCTAGAAGCTTCCCCAAATCCTCTGCAAGGTCTCCAGTCCCCTCGCTGGGCAGCCCCAGTATATCTGAGACAACCTCCCTGCCCTTGCTCACCTCGCTGCGCCTCCGTACTTCCCGAGCTCCAGGCAGAGTGAGAAAACTACATCTTGAATGAAGGAGAATTCTGCATTTTTAGCTGTTTACACACTTGTTGTTTCATGCTCAAAAAAGCTTCCCTTCCCACCACCCAAGGAGCCTGATTACTGCACGTGTGATGGGTGCCTGGTTGGGAGCTTGAGCTGGTTTCAGTAAACCCCCCAGTACCACCAGTAACCATGCGCTGTAATGCGTGGTTACTGCTCCTGCGCATCACGTGTGCCTTTTCCGTACCACAAATGAGAGGACGCATCAGCTTTCTCTGTGTTTATTGTGTTACACTGAAGCAAAACGGCACATATTTTGTTATTTGCAGTTACTAGCTGATGATTTCACCATGTCTAAGGAATACAAGGAAAAGCAATTAAATATTTCGGGACTCGATTACCACTGAAGGGAGGCTCAGGCCGTGCGACAGGACAGGATGAGGGCAGCGCCGTAGAAATCCCATGCTGAGCTGAGCCCACCATGCCACCCACTCAGCGGGGCAGCAACCTCCCTCAGCTGGACGCATTTTGGGTAGCACAGGAGCTAGTGAGCTCGGTACTATTGCCCTCTCCTGGGTACGTGGCCAGAGCAATTTGCTGGGAGTAGCACCGTGAAATCCACATGCTGGAGATGTTCATCCCAGCCCAGAGGGACCCAGTGGTGACCACATTCAGCGTTGCCATCCCTTGCACTGAAAGTTGCTCCGACAAACCTCTCCCCAGGTTGGGGAACTCCGCTGGCTCATGCAGGACGGGACTTTCCCCATGTCTTTCTCAGACGTTAGTCTTTCCCATACACCACTCCCCCCATTGTTTTAGTTCAAACATGAAACAACACCCATGCCTCTTAAATAATGACCTCTACAAAGTCCCTGGAGATGCTTCAAAACGGTCTCCTGCTCATCATTCATGAGGATGGAGATGTGGTAGCTGAGATAAAGAGCTGCTGGTGCCTCTCTGGGCTGATGCTGCTGGAAGGAGCAAGTCTTTCACTCAGGAATAGCAAGCTTAAAGTCATCGTCTTAAAATGTAGCCTTCAAGGACAGTGGCCAGAGGAACCCACCTGAAGCACTGAAGCTGCAAAGCGCATCAGGATTTGTTGGTTGGCTTTGATGTATCTGCGGGTTTTATTTAACTGTAGAAACTCAGTTTGCTAAGGAAATTATTGACGTTGATATCTACATTATATAAGCCTTTTTGTTGTTTTTTTTTTTACTTTTTCATTCTTCCAACTGTGGCTGGAGGCCCAAAAGCAGCAAATCAGTGCTGGCGAGATATTTGAAGAGCTTAGAGGTTGCACATCCTCACCAACCCACCTCTTTGTAGACGTTGTTCAGGTGAGTGCAGATTTCATTGGTCACCTTCTCAAAGGAAGCTTTGCAGTCTCCGCCAAATTTCTCCTCCATCAGTTGCAAGATAATGTCACAGATAATCTAAACAAGGAGTAGGGAAGAAACAACCAGTGTGAACTTTTCTCCACATTAGAAACATAAGAAAAAAATATACATTTTTAGTTGGGGTTCTTGGAGAGTGGAAAGGGGGTGCAAAAATAATTCAGTAGCATATAGCATGCAGAGCTGGAAATAGGTCGTGGAATATTAGGTACATTATAGAATTCACCAAAAAACGCAGTCACTGTTGTTTTTTTTAACTATCCTGAATCTGGTTAATGTTGACTGCATTCATATACAGTTACTTAAAGACTGCTATACAGGACCGTGTACATCACAGTCCATCTACTGCAATCCTTCTCCTGGTAGTGGACTGTCCCAAATGTTTAGAGGCCACAAGGAGGTCCATGGTGGACACCTCTGGAATACACGGTTTGGGGGGGGTGTGTAAATTTCTTCCTAATCTTTCCCGCTCGTTAGCTACCTGGCACTCTGTAGCAAGGAGGGTTTGTACGTCTTTACAGCCGCTAGCTAGGTGGTATACTTTGAAGCGCCAATTCCTTTTCTTTGCAGCATTTATTATTTTGTGTCCATCTTTACCCTGAAAAAGTCTTTTCAGGATCTCTCCAGGCAGAAATCCTCACTTATTCTCCCACTTATTGAAAATTGGGCCCACTGCTTTGGAAACCACCTTCCTGGTACCTGAGTGACCTTTGCCAGAAGGTGCCTCCTTTTGCATTTTGTGCCGTGTAAGGCAGACAAAATAGCTATAAATGCACTCTGCTGGTGACCGTAGGTGGACTTGGGTAAGTCATTTGATCCTGTATTTATTATCTGTGTTTGTTTAGTGATGACAATGCTGTTGCCATGGTTGCTCAATAACAGCTGGTTTAGTGGTCCTAGAAAAGCTCAGTTCCTATTACTAGAGAAAAATAGACATCAAGGACTGAAGTCCAGTGTTAAGCTGCTTTTCTGAGTCTTGTTATTAAATGACAAGCGTGGAATCCTGTTGCACTGAGAAAACCCACTACAGCTCATGGGTAGCTCTGCAGCTCCCACCTGAGCAGACCTGCCTACATCTCTCCTGCTGCACAGCCTTCTTCCCAACAGGTGCCAGGTCTCACGTTCCTGCTATCTTCCACCATCATCCGTCTCACCTTCCACCATCTCCACTCTCTGAAGCACATATATATTTATATATACAAAGCCTGTTTTCCTCAGTTCTACCCCTCCAAGGGGAAGACATCCTCCCATCACAATTACACCCCCTGGGAAGATGGCTGTTGGCTCACCCTAAAATTTTTGGGGTCAATCTTCAGCTGGGTGGCATGTTTCTTGCCGAGTGGGTTCACTACCCCAAGAAAAGCCTCAGAGTTGTCCAGGTGTTGCACCATGTCGTTGATGGCGGTGAAAACCCTCTTGCCGTGGCCCCTGACTTGATCTGACTGTTTCATCTCTTCGGCGGAGTCCATGCCTTTGAAGTGTGCAAAGTAGGACTTGGTGTCTGGGTGCTCAGTAAACATCCTGTTGAGAAATGAGAGACATCCTAATTTGTGGACCGAGGCATCGATGCAGATATGGCTTCATGTTCTAGGCCTTGTCTTATGCATTTATTGCCCTTTTTCCTTCTCTTTATTAGAACAGACACCTCTTTGCCCTGCATTTCTTGGTTCTCCTTCGCCCTTCCCATCTGTGCACAGCCCCTGTGCCTGTCCCCTCCCTTGCCTCTCCCCAGGGCACTTCCCTTTGCTCACTCTGCCTTATAATCTACCTACCCTGAACTTATTCTGCTGCTTCTAGAGTAAACATTTCCTCAGTGTTGACTCAGTGTTAGGTGGAGATAAAATGCACAGAGAAGTGGGAGCGCGTTCACACGGGGTGAGTGTGACAGCGTGATATTCCCAAAAATGTTCTGGACAGCAAATATGTCCACTCTGCTCTCAGTGGGTGTTTTCATGGAGCAACCCTACTATTGGTTTTGCTAATTAACCCCTTCCTAGAGTCCATCCCAAAGCTTTCTTACTGCCTGTGATGGATTGTTGTTTGAGTACCAGGTACTGCTCATTTTGTTTATTCAAAAGTAACACAATTCAGTGCCACTCGTAAAGGAATTGCCTTTTATAATACATCAGTTATGTATTTACTCCATTGGGTAAACCAGTTATCCACCTAAAATAGCAAATTCCAGATTGCATTTCACAGAGTCACAGAACGCTTGGGCTTGAAGAGACCTCTGGAGGTCATCTGGTCCAACCCCCCTGGTCAAGCCGGTTGCCCAGGACCATGTCCAGATAGCTTTTGAATATCTCTGTGGGTGGAGACTCTACAAGCTCTCTGGGCAATCTGTGCCAGCGCTCAGTCATCCACACAGTGAAAAAGTGTCTCCTGATGTTCAGAGGGAACCTCCTGTCTTTCAGTTTGTGCCCATTGCCTCTGGTCCTGTCACTGGGCACCTCTGAGAAGAGCCTGGCTCTGTCTTCTTTGCACCCTTCCGTCAGGTTTTTATATACATTGATAAGATCCCCCTGAGCCTTCTCTTCTCTAGGCTGAAGAGTCCCAGCTCTCTCAGCCTCTCCTCATAGGAGAGATGCTCCAGTCCCTTCATCATCTTCGTGGCCCTTCGTTGTACTCTTTCCAGTATGTCCATGTCTCTCTTGTACTGGGGAGCACAGACCTTCTCTAAAGGCAGAGCTGGGGCTGTAGGACACTGAGGCAAAACCTTCTAGAGTAAATTACCCCAGGAAGCCAAGCCACTGGATGCTACTAGCATTTTATAGCTGCATTTCTGACCCTAACTGTCCTCAGGTTATCTGTAGAGTGCAGAAATAAAGAGCAGTGCATAACACTTTTTGAGGCTGATCCAGGCACAAGATGTGATACACAAGAAAGCCAGAGGGAGTGGTAAAGGTATGATAACCAGAAATAGTATTTGGACTGATCAGTGCGTATGGAGGCGATTTAAGTCCCAGCTGAGAGAGGGATATGTGAAAGGTGAATAGGAGAAACTTCTGTCTTATGGAAAAAGAGAGGAAAATAGAGTGAAAACCAAGAGAGGAAAGCCCACAGGAAGGGCACAATACAATGAAACAGATGGGCTCTGGACTGGAAAGGCGGAAAGGGAATCAGAAGAGAAATATTGAGGACATGCAAGTTAAAAGAAAAAATTATTAAAGGAGTTTAGAGGTAAAGAGGAAGAGAGAAACAGGGCCCATGTTTTGTTCCCATTCTCTTTCACACCACACTTTCTTTTCTTTACCTTAAATGTGTGGAGTGAAGAAATTGTTCTTGTCTCTTCTTCCTTTCCCACCCCCTTCCCCCTTTCCTTCTACTTTTCTTTGTGTGGATCTCTCCTCATCCCTGTTTCCTCCCTGAGGTGGGATCAACCACAGCAAACCAAAATGTTCCCAGCAAGGGCTGCGTGAAAAACGTCAAAACATGCTCCTAGGTGGTAACTCCATCCTTCTTGCTGTTCCTCCTTCAACCCTGTGGGGTGGCAGCGGGCTGGGCTCTTTCCTTACCTGACCAGCACAGTTGTCCCGTTGTCCTCGGCATCCACATATATCTTCTCCCAGGCTCCACGGGCACTTTGCACCTCTGCTTCAGAGAATGACATGGTGAAGGAGACGTTGGCAACGAAGGGCGCAGCAGGAAGGAGAAGGACAGGGAGGTCCTGGCGGGACAGTTCTGCTCCAGTTCTCTCCTCAGGGTCCTCTAAATACTGCCCCGGGGATTTAAGACATCTTGAATGGACTCTTTGTCTCCGTTCCCCTCGGTTACATTTCTGCAGGCTTTAGGGCTGCCTAATCACTTTTAATCAGGAAAGAAACCAACCACGTGAGGAAGGAGGACTAGCACTCTCGCCGTGGCGTCAGGTGCCAGAGCAAAGATCTCGCTGTCTGAGGAGAGAAGGGAAAAAAGAGAGTTTTCAGTGGGGAAGGAAAAGATCAGCTCTCCTCCCCTCTCACCCCTGCCAAGGCCAGGCTTCTCTTTCCCGAGGGTGATCCTTGCCCAAGCACTAATTTTCCTGGTTTGCTCCCGAAAGCGCTGCTGTGCTGCAGGCACCGCGGTGCCCTGCCATCCCCTTTTCCCAGCACTTCCTGCTCCTTCAGTCCAAAGATCCCTTTTCCAGTTCCAGCAACTCTCTCCAGTCCTGCTTTCATGCCGTGGTCACTGCTTTCCCCGCAGCCCTCTGGTTTAGCAGGGGCTCACCCTGCACTGCTCCTGGCCACGGTACCTGGTGGGAGGCATCGCCAGCCCAGAACGACACCGTTGTGGGGACGGCGATGGCAGCGTGGGCACAGCATCCGTGGCCGCAGTGCCCTGGCAAGCCATGTCATTTTAACGCAGGAGGTAAATGGGTGCAGGACACCCAGACTGGAAGCACAGGCATTTTGCTACCCTAATCCTCCTGGCTTGCAGCCGGGATCTCTGTCCTATCCCTAAGCCCTACCTGCCTGGGAGGGAGAAAGAGATAAGGGGCAGGAGAAGGCTCAGTGCGGAGCTGCAGACAGCGCGTACGGGCCTGTTATTGTCACCGTCACTTGGAACTGGAGGCAAAAAAATTCTTGGATTATCCACACGGCGCCTGGGCTTAACCTCTGGCAGGAATGTTCTGGTTAAGCCCAGGGCACGCACATGAAATAAGGGCTAAGGGGCTTGAGGAACTGCTGCTGCTGCTGGACGCCGAGCGTAGACAAAACCTTGTATTGTTTGGGATGGTTTAGAGGAGGGAGGGAACAGGCGCGAGGGAGAAATGTGCGGCATGGCGAGCAAAACCAGCCCGAAACCCTGGGACAGAAGGAAAGTGGTGGTCGCAACCTCACAGAGACCAATCAGTCTTGGCGGTGTTGTGTCCCACCCTTGCCGAGGGATGCCTCAAACGACTTCACCAAAACTACCTCCCCCTTCCCTCCCTCTCCCTTTTCACCACAGCAAACAAAGAGTGGTTTGATAGAAAGCTGCACAGCCTTCTGCTTTCTCATCCCAAAATCCTCAGAAAAATGTCCCAGATTTCAGGAGAGCCCCAAGGGGGCACACACACTGTGCTGCCGGGACCGCTGCCTCTTTGAAGGCAAACACAAACCAGGGAAATGCCGGTCGGGCGAGCCCAGCCACCATCACAGGGATGCAGAGGAAGGAGCGAGGATGGCAGGAGTTGGTGGTTCCCAGGTCTTGGGAGCCAAAACCGCCTAGGAGGAGCTGGGTGGGGAAAGCACCAAGTTTTTGGCCGAGAACAGAACGCACATCAGGTGCTTGTCATGGGTGGCCTGGGAGGGAGCGAGTTCCTGAAGAGCGAGCAGCACCAACTTTAGCCGAAGGGAAAGGGGCTTGGGCAGGTCCGGAGCATGGAGGTAGAGCTGTTTTTATTTCGGGGTGTGAGTGTGGACAATTACTTGCTTGCAACTTTTCCTCCTCTCTGTAGGTGTCGTTCTCCTTGCAGATCCTGGTGCACCCTGACTTGCTGGGGACAGTTCTCGGTGGGAGAAGCTGGAACGTGGTGGTGAGCTGGGCTCTCTGGTTGTGGTAGCAGGGCACATTACTCAAGGATGAGTCTTCCCTCTTAGCTTTCTTAGTCTTTTCCTCTTCATCTCCCTTGTTTGCCCTTCATTTCTCTCCCCTTTGGTGTTTGTTTGCAGTTCACAAGCAAACCTCAGCTTCCCTAGGGGACTTCTCCTCTGCTCTCCCCGACCTCATCGGGGACACTGCCGTACAAAGGTGCTCATTCACTCAATATATTGCCAGACATCCTGTCGTAGGCCAAAAAAATACCTGTTTTGAGTTGGGAAATTTCAATCAAATTAATTTACTGCCAAGTAACAAACCAACCAACACTTAGACACCTCTCTTCCCCGCCATCCTGGTCCCCCACCCCTGTGCCGCAGGTTACACCCAGGCCCTTCGGTGAGACCATGGGCGGTGCAGGAGCTGGGGGTTGGTGCATGGGGGTCCCTTTGCTCTTGCTGCTCCTTGTGTCCTACTCAGCTGCTCCAGCATGGGCTCTTCCGCCGGTCACTGTCCCTTTGGGTGCTATACCTGCCCTGGCCTTGTGTCTCCTTTTTCAGCATTCACTGCCCTTTCTTAAACATGTTTCCAGAGGGGCACCATAAACTCAACTGGTTAGTCCAGTTTTGGGGTGCAGTAGGTCAATTTTGTCCCGTGCCAAGCCAGCTGTGAGCAGCACAGAGCAGTCCCTGACCTCCTCCTGCACAGACAAAACAAACAGTGACGCCCTCAAGCATGTCACTGTGCTTTCTGTGACATGCTTTTCTTATTCTTTCCTTTCACCTTCAGGTGTTACTTCTACTGTTTTGGAAATTATCTTCTATTTTCCCCCTGCACGATTTGCTGAGTTGTTGTAAGATGAACACAGTAATACCTCATAAAGTTCTGACATCTCTAATAAAGTTATACGTATTGTACTACGCCTCAGGGGTCTCTAGTGATTGAAACAAAAAAGCTCCAGAAGCCTATTTTTTTTGGCCTCGAAATGGTATTGCTGTGAAAAATTTGCGGTTTAATCATAAAGTCATCACGTTGCTGCCGACACTCACCCCCCACCCCAGGGGAAGAGGATGCGTGCTTGGCTTATTTCTTTTTCCTCTCCCATGGTTTGTTTTGTTTAATATCCCGAAGGAAGTGAATGCTCTTAAGTGTCCTTTCTGCTGAATGGGGAGAAATATTTTCTAACGGGGGTGCTGGGCAGCACCGCAGAGACAGCCTCGGTCACGGAGGGGATGCTCCTCGGCGGGCAGGGTCAGGCCGAGGGGCAGAGAGCGCTGGGAAACCCCGAGCAGGGAGCACAGCCGCTGTATTTCACGCTGCGTGCAGCGGCCAAGCTTTTCCTGGCTCTGTCCCCAGCCAGGGAAGCAGAGGACGTGACTCCTGGCTGCGGCACTGGGAAACGGCAGCGGTTCTGCGAGATGGGGTTGGTTCCCTTTTGGTTTCCGAGAAACCATGTGCTTTAGCAGAAGGCAGCTGGCAAGCTGATGGCATCTTCTACCCACCCAGCCATTTAGGATGCGATGACTCTGCCTGCGGAGCTTGTTGATGCCCCGGTCACAGGCACTGCAAAGCTGCCTGTGTTTGCTTCGCCTTGAAAGTTCGTGATCAGTTATTTGTTTCATGTTTAATGTAAATAAACAACCCTATTAATTATGCAACAGGGGTTAATCCCCCGGCTCAGCAGACATGCCTGTTGTATAGGATGGCTGGAAAGGGCTCAGCAGCTATAACTCTTATTTTCCCAACACCCCCCATACTGTCAGACTGAGGTTAGAGCCCCCCAGAGCAGGTATTGCCAGGTTTCTTGGATGCTTAGCTTGAGATGCTGACACCGAGTGCTGCTTTTACAGAGATGACAAACAACTGTATCTGCTCCGTGCTCAGGATCTGAGGTTATCAACATTACTAGCTCACCAAAACAAGCAAAATTAGGAGCTGCAATCACAACAGTTGGTGCCAGTGTCTGAATGCCGAAGTCCGCATAGCATATGGGTGGGGAAGACCTGGGGCAGACGCATGCAGCTTTCCCAGCTGCCACCAGACCGCACTTCTCTCTCCTGTTCAGAGAGCAGTAGTGGGCTGGCGCGGAGCTGTGTTGCATTTTGCATGGGTGAAAGTACCAAGTCCAAAGGGTAAGAAAAAAGCAGGAGTACTCAGCTTCTTGGGACCTAGCCAGCCAGAATGGCCTTCACAGAGATTAAACACAGGTGCCATCTGACACGATAGAAATGTACACAGGTTTCTGTTGTGAATACTTTTATTGCACGCATAAGATTTTAAATGTGAAAACAAAGGCGATGTATTCAAAGTAGTTCAGCTTTTACATATCATAGGGCATAGTATATATACAGATTAACCCTCTGAATGCTGCTTTAATGACAGCATTAAGTACATGGCTAGCAGTGATTCTAACACAGCTAATAAGGATGAAAAAAAACCCCAATGGTTTAATGGAAAAAACACTCCCACAGGTTTTGGACACAAGCCCCCAGACTACATTGAGTTACTGCTTCACAGAGTATCTTGACTGGAACAAGAGCTCTTTAATTACACACAAACTATACACATTATACATATAGTTACACACAATATAAGTGATGTTCTGAAGAAAATTCAAATCCATTGAAAGTCACCCCTGGCAGAGTTAAACCTGGATTCCAGATAAAGAGACCTGATATCAGAGGAAGAGAGGATGTAGCTGAAAGAAGACATCAGGCTAAAAGAAATAGTTATGGGCTGGTATATGCGGAAGTTAGACACCAGTCCAGAAGCTTTGTTTCAAACACGGGTAGCATACAGATGACTATATTGGTGGTATGGATTATTGTGTTTAGAGATGCAAGGGGGCTAAGCTAGAAGGGCAAGAGATAAAACAGAAGACAACCCTGCTGTCAGATGCAACAGAAAGAGAGGTGTCGGACTGAAAGGGTGGTTGGTGAGGAATGGAAGGAACCAGAGAATCAGACTAGCAAACTGTTTACCTGTGCAAGCAGAAGGCTGGATGATGGACTTTATGGTCCATTTGCCTATTCTATTGTCGTAGTTATTGTCTCCCACTAAAGCCATGCCCTCCCTTGAGTTATTGTCCCTGCAGCTCGATGTTCCGAGCATTTACACAGCTAAAAAATCTATTATAACTGCCCGACTTTGTTTGGAAGTAATGTCAGTACATGTGGCTTTAAATTCAGTGAGCCCAAATTTAATATCCAGCTTCAGTTCGCGTTTCCTCCCCAGCTTTGTGTCTGGCATTGGCACTGTACAGGAGCCAAGCTGTTCCATCCCTTCCTCATCTACGTACTGAGCATCCTGCTTTTCTGTACAATAGAAAGAAAAACATGCATTTTTTTGGTCTGGTTCTGTTGGATTGAAAGTATAGTGGGCAACTTCATTTATATTCACTGACTCCTCAATTCCCACCAATTTCTTGAAGAGACCTGTGCAATAAATATAGCCATCAGCTTTTGAGACCCTTAGTTTACGGCAGTCATGGATAGCAGCATCGAATTTACTAGTTACTGCCACGCCGTATGTCCGAGCACTGACTCTTGAGGCAATAATATGTGGATTGACTCCAAATAAAACAGCCCCTTTTGCAATGGCCCCTTGGGCCTCCAGTGGACAAAGGATATGATACTTCTCACTAAAGGCCTGACGGATGGCATCTCTCAAGATGATGCTAGACGCAAAACCTCCCACGAGCAAAATGTACTGGACCTTGGCTATCTCGGGCTTCTCAAGAATTTCCCTCAAAGTATGAATGATATTTTTGATACTATAGTCAAAAAGGCTCTTCATTTTCTCATATGTAATCATGATCATTCCATCACACCACACAGCTCCTTTTGCTTTTTTGAAGAAGTGGGAGATGTCCTGCTTGCACTCTGCCACTCGGGTCAAGTTGTAGTAGCAATGTATGTAGACTGCCTCCCTGCTAGCAGAGCATTTCTGTAGACTGAAGTTGTACATCATATGTTGTAATTCGGTAGGGTGGCTCTTCACATATTCACCCCATACGCCATCATCGAATATTTCCCTGAGGAAATCTGTGAAGTTTTCATCCACTCTGTTGCCTCCCCATCCACCTCCAGCTGCCTTGTGTAACTCCTTCAAGTAATGGTTTTCTTGGATCTCATGTACCGTGATGTCTATTGTGCCACCTACACACACACGGACAAACACCAATGAAGTTAGCTGTTTTCTTTAAAATACCTGAGGTCCCTACTTTCCACTGAATATAATCTTACCTTCTGAACTCCTGGTTCAGGTTCACAAGTGCACTTTTCTGCTGCTTTCTTTTCTCATCTTCACTCCTGCACTATTGCCTGCACACCTCTAGACTTCCTAAATTTACGCACTTCTGTTTACAAGCCTGGTCTCTCAAGGTTCCTACAGTAATTGCTGATGAGAGCTGGATGCTCTGACTTGCTCCCTGCACAAGCCGATCTCCTTTCCGATCACAAAAGGAGGCTGGCCTCCTCACATAGATAGTTGACTCCTGCCTTTTGATATACAAGCTCTGAGTTAAGATGAGCAGTGGTGGTGAGACTCTCAGAAACTTGTGGTCCTCTTGATCCCTTTTCAGTATTTGTTCACAATCACCAGACTGCTCTTGGCAGAAAATTCATGTCACACCGAAAAAACACACAGGAAACTAGAGAAATTACTGAGAAGTACTCCATCAAATATCCTTAATTATTTACTCTACAGGGCCTGCTAGCTAATCTCTTTGGTCAGTTGACTGGGCACTACGCTCGCTCCGACAGAGGAGGCTGTGAGCTCAGGCTACACAGCAGCATGTGGATGCTTGTCGGTGGCTGCGGCTGGGACACGGTGCAGACTGATCTGGCGCGATGGCAGGAGCTCTCGCTGTGACTGTCTGGCCTGCAGTGCATGACGGCATGAGACACTCGGTGACTTCCCTTTGCCATGGATCAGGCCTTTAGCAGTCCTGTCCTTTCCTCCCATTTTTCTGCCTGCCCATGGGATCTCATTAAGTGAGAAATAAAAATAAAAACGCTGTGACAAGCACAGCACTGGAGTCCAAGCTCTGGGACTGCACTGCAGACCTTTGGGGACACTGCAAAACAGCCATGCTCCACGCCCAGCAAAGACAGTACCTGTTAAACAGGGAAAATTTTACCTCCACAGTCAACAACGATATACTGGATCCCAGGGGAGTCCTCGAACTTCTTCTTGTCACTGCTGTCCACCATAAACCCTTCCTGTGGAAGCTGTTTGCACCAGAGCGATGCAGCCTCCGGCTCCAGGGCAATAATCAGGTTCTCAGAAATCATGTCAGAGATGAGTCCTGCCTAAAACCACAAGAGAGGAGTGTCAGTTCAAGGAAAGGTGGCAAGACCACCGCTGCACGAACGCCATCTGCTAGGGAGGCTGTTCTCACCCCAGGAGCCCATGCTGGGGTGGTGGTTCTTGCACCGCTGATCTCCGTGGGGCTCATTTCTACACGGCGGTGAGGGGAAAGGGCAGAGCGGTTGTAACTGCCACTTTGGGACATCCTCTTCCCCACCGCCCCCAACGTGGGAGATTTCTCTCCCTGATAGACTGAAATTTGAAATACAGGTTGTTTAAATGTCGAGGAGTTCCTCTGCCTCGATGGGTAAAGAATCTCCGAAGATAATTCGAGGAAGTGGGATAACCCCTGCTCTTACCTCTTTTGCTGCCAGCCGCATGAACTGCCTGGCAGCAGCGCTCCATATGGCCGGGACGGTAATGACCCAGGTGATCTCCTCCTGGTTGCAGACGGTTTGGAAAGAGGCCTCTTGGATGGTGTTGAGGGCATGTTCTTTCAGGTAGCGCAGGCTTTCGGAAAAGACCGTCAGGGCGGGAAGCATCTTCCCGTTGCTGGCTTTCAGCTCCATGCCAGAAGTGACTTTCTACAAAAAAAGGTCTCAGGGTCACACACGTGGCAGTCTCGGCAAGAGACCTGTCCCCTTCGCACGGAGCACTGCAGAACACATGGCACAGAAGGAGGTCCTGTCTCCAAACCTGAGTAAATTCCCAGCAATGGCTTCAGTATTGTGGCGAACTGCAGCCAAATTGACACAGGTCAGGTACCAAATTGCTTACCCACAACATCTGTGATTCAATAGGCAAAATATCAACGTGGTTGATGTCAGCTGTTTCTCCTGGGCCAAATTTTGTAAAAACCTTGTAGATCCTCCTGAACAGCCAGTGGGGAGAATTGTACTTTCTATGTGACACAACCATACATTCCCCAGGACTATGTATAGAGACTTCAGACCTTTCTGGCTGCACCTATACTTCTATGGATGGCATTAACAAAATATATGCTGGACAAACATGTAGACAAATAACCCTCTGGTCTGACACAGTTTCTCTATAATGTGTCCTCTTGGCGTATGTATCTCCCTGAGTGTATCTTGAGGCAGGTGGCTGCTCTGACGCTTTTTTAGTCTCTCCCAGGAGACCAAAACTCCCTCCATCAGTCCCTGATTGCCTGCTCTGTCTAGGAAGAGTGGGAAATCTTGCCTGTATTCAAGAAGTTTCAGGAGCCAGCCTTCACCCCACGTGCTTCCCTTTGTTTTGCTTCAGCAGCCACCAC